TCAATAAGCTCTTTGGTACCCAAATGGCTTTCTTTCTTGAGCCCATCCATGGTGCACCAATGAATTTAGCCTTCACACCATTTATACCCTTAGTAAGCACATAGAAAGAATCAAGCTTAATTGAGGATACATTTGCATTCTTGTTCTTGTTCTTGCAATCATGCTCTTGATGACCAACTTGCTTGCAACTAATGCAAAACCGACCATTGTTCTTCACAAAACTAGTCTTATAAGGAGTAAAGGCCGTCTTGCCTTTTTTGGGGGTATAGCCCAATCCCTCTTTGTAGAGAGAAGCTCTTTGGCTACCCAAGCACATAAGAAAGCGGTCCTCATCACCATAGACTTTGCCTAAGGTGCGAGTGAGCTCATTAACCTCTTTTTTGAGGGTCTCATTCTCAACCAATAGTGAGGCATCACAAGTGAAACCATCACTACTAGATGAGGTAGAAGTGAAAGTGCTACAAGAGAGGTTAGTGGGAGCAATAATGATAGGCTTATAGAATGATTCATCAATTATATTACAAGTTAAGCCTTTGTCATATGTTACAACATGCTCCTTCTCATCTTGCTTATCAAGTATAGAGGAATGAGCTTTTTCAAGCTTCTTGTGAGCCTTGCCAAGCTTCTCATAGGCTTCCTCTAGCCTCTCATGAGATGCATTGAGCTCATCAAAGGCTTGTTTAAGGGCTTTTAGTTCCTTTCGCAAGTCTTTATATTCCCTTCTCTTAATGTCAAAATATTCTTTAGCATCTTTCAACATATCAATTAGTTCATTTTTAGTTGGTTCATCATCATTGTCACTTTCACTTTCACTATCATGTTCCTCATCACATTCATCATCACAAGTTTTTACCTTAGTGGCCTTAGCCATGAAGCATGATGGAGTGTCAAAGAGAGAAGGCTTATTATTTATGGAAATGCTTGCAAGAGCCTTCTTCTTGGTGGTCTTATCATCATCATCATCACTTGATGAAGCATCACTATCCCAAGTGACCACATATGAACCACCCTTCTTCTTCTTCTTGTCGTCATCATCATTGTCGCTATTGTATGGGCATTGAGCAACAAGATGATCCTTCTTCCACACTTGAAACACCTCCTTGACTCTTCATTGTTTTTGGATGAAGACTTCTTCCTTCTAGCACGGTAGCCCTTTTTCACCATAAACTTACAAAATCTCTTCACAAAGAGAGCCATCTTCTCATCATCCATCTCATCAAAAGTCAAGTCTTTATCTTTACTTGATGATTCTTGCTTTGCCTTGCCCTTGGATAATGTGGCTTTGAATGCCACACTCTTCTTTTTCTCATCTTTCTTCTCCTTCCTTTCTTCCTTCTCATCACCATCTCTATATGTGTCATCGGTCATCACATCTTCCAACACTTGGTTTGGTGTCATGGTGTCCAAACCACTCCTTACTAGAATAGTGATCAATGTACCAAATCTCGAAGATAAGCATCTCAAGAACTTATGAGAGAAGTACTTGTACTTCACCTCTTCTCCAAGTGCTTTGAGATTATTGACAAGCACTTAAAGTTCATGGAACATCTTCGGCATACTCTCATCTTCCTTCATCTTAAACCTTGCAAACTTCTCCTTGAGAATGTATGCCTTTGCACTTTTTACGGCTTGAGTGCTCTCAAATGATTCCTCCAACTTTTTCATGCCTCATGAGTTCTCTCAACGTTGTTGATTTGCTCAAATGTTCTCTCATCCAAAGCATCATTAATGGCACTAAAAGCAATGTCATTGTTTTGAAGTAGCACTTCTTTGACGGCGATGGGAGCCTCCTCATTAGCAATCTCAATCTTGGTCTCCACCACCTTCCATACCTTTTTATTAATTGACTTAATATATGTTGTCATCTTAACCTTCCAATAAGGATAATTTGAGCCATCAAATTGGGGTGGCTTCTTGGTGTTATTGTTTTGAACCATTTTAACATCGAAGGTTGTTAAGCCTCAAATCACGGTAACCATAGCTCTGATATCACTTGAAAGGTCCTAATGGCTAGAGGGGGTGGATAGCCTATAAAAATTTCTACAACAACACTAAGCAAAGTGGTTAGACAAACATGAGGCGAAGCGAATGTTGCGCTAGCCTACTAAAAATACAAGCCACCTACCATAATTCTAGTTTCTATAATCTCTATGCACACAAAGGCTAAGTCCCTATACTAAGTTAGTGAGCTCTCAAAGACTAACTAAAGAGCCTCACTAATCAATAGACTCAACACAAGCTAGCTCTAAAAAATAATTACACTAAAGAGCTTAGCTACACTAAGAATGTAAATACACGAGATGGGTAGTGAGTTATACCACCGTGTCGAGGAGTGAGCCAATCACAATGAATACCAAGAAATCCTCAGGACAATGATGACACAAGATTTTTTACCGAGGTTCACTTGCTTGCCGGTAAGCTAGTCCTCGTTGTGGCGATTCACTCACTTGGAGGTTCACGCGCTAATTGGCATCACACGTCAAACCCACAACCAGGTGCCGTACAACCAACACAAGATGATGATCACACAAGCCACGAGCAATTCACTAGAGTATCTTTTAGCTCTCTGTCGGGAAAAGGTCAAGAACCCCTCACAATCACCATGATCGGAGCCAGAGACAAGCACCTTCCTCCGCTCGACGATCCTCGCTGCACCAAGTTGTCTAGGTGTCTGCAACCATCAAGAGTAACAAGCGAATCCCGCAGCGAAACACGAACACCAAGTGCCTCTAGATGCAAACACTCAAGCAATGCACTTGGATTCACTCTCAATCTCACAAAGATAATGAATCAATGATGGAGATAAGTGGGAGGACTTTGGCTAAGCTCACAAGATTGCTATGTCATTGCAAATGGCCAAGAGAGTAAGCTTTGAAAGCCCCTATGAATAGAGCCGTTGGGCTCTCCACCTCACTGTCTTTGGGGTGACCGAACGCGCTGGTCGATGTGACCGAACGCACTGTACCCAGCGCCCGGTCGCTGGATCTGTGTCACATGTCCACCGCATTTGACGTCCACCGCCGATCTCCAATAGTCACCTCGCAACGCGCCACTGCTTAAGTTATGACCGGACGCACCAGCCGAGCGTCAGGTCAGCGCAAAACCATGTGCCACCAACAACCGATCGGACACGCCGATCAATCCTAGTGCCCGCGTGTCAGGTCATTTCCAGAGAGCTCTCCGAGCGGCAAAATAGTGACCGGACGCATCCGGTTTCCTGTGATCAGACGCATCGTCGCGTTAGGTCTTCACCGCGCTCTCTCATTCGCCTACGTCACCATGCATCATCCTCGACCGGATGCACAAGCGACGCGTCATGTCACACATTTACCCTGCGTCCGGTCACTCACCGAGGCTGAGCACTTCACTGTCCAGAGCTGACCGGACGCACCCGGCTGAGTCCGGTCATCTCGAAGGCCGAGTCTGGTCAGTGTTTTTCAGTGAAAAACAACTTCTCCATTTCACCAACTTCTCAACCCTTGCTCAAATGTGCCAACCACCAAGTGTTTCACCTTGTGCACGTGTGTTAGCGTGTTTTCACAAATATTTTCAAAGGTGTTAGCACTCCACTAGATCTAAATGCACATGCAAAGAGTTAGAGCATATAGTGGCACTTTGATAACCGTATTTTGATACGAGTTTTACCCATCTTAATAGTACGGCTACCGATCCTAAATGTGATCACACTCGCTAAGTGTCTCGATCACCAAACCAAAAAGCTCCTATCAAGTTTCATCTTTGCCTTGAGCTTTTTATTTTTCTCTTTCTTCTTTTCCAAGTCGAGCACTTGATCATCATGGTCACACCATCATCAACATGATCTTCATTGTTTGCTCCACCACTTGGAATGATGCTATCTATCTCATAATCACTAGAGCATATAGGTTAGCACTTAGGGTTTCATCAATTCACCAAAAATAAACTAGAGCTTTCAGCGGCGGAGCTGATTCCATCTTTGTGTTGGTTGCTTGGGAACTCTGGAAAGAAATGAATGCAAGGTGCTTCCGCGGAGCAAGCACTCAGGTGCCCGAACTGCTCAAACTCATCAAGTACGAGGCAGAGTCGTGGGTGCAAGCCGGCACAAAGAACCTAAATTGTCTTCTTTAGCGAGTAATAGAGTAGTCGAATGTATCTTTGGGGAGGGCATATGCTTAATGGATTTCTAAAAAGCCCTCGCCCTTTAATCAAATTTCTCCCTACTTAATAAAAAACGCGCAAATTTTTTGCATGATCTAGAAAAAATAAAACCATAAACAAACAGAAAAATTAAATAAAACTATAGGAGCCTCAAACTTTTATCGTTGTGACATTTGAATAATGTTCAACACTTGAGCATTGCTCATACAAATCATATTGTTTTTTGAATGCAGTAACTACTACCCAAATCATTACCCTCCCCAATTTGGCAGCCCAGCCACGGTTTGCATCCGTGACATGGTCCCACGTCACACTCTCCCCTGACACACAACCAGGCCGGTCTGAAACTCTGAATCTACCTCCACCGACAAGTGGGACCGGCCACTCTACCTTTTCCCTTCTTCCGGCCTATTCACTTATTTTCGATCAGCCCAAATCAATTAGGTAATAGTATTTTCTTCTTAAAAAAAATTAGTACCGATCAGACCAAATCAGCACCCGCGCCAACCAGCCTACGTGCCCTTCGTCTCCGTCTCCGTCTCCACCTCCACCTACAAGAGCATCAATCATGGGGGACGCCCCCCTTCGCCATTCTCCATCCCAACAATCTTCATCAAAGATCTAATAAAACCCATAGAAACTTCTCTCGTTTCTCTCTCCTCGGCCCCGCGGGAGCGAACCCTTATCAGTCGCTCTTGTTGGCTCGGAGCAGCGATGCGCACCGCCTGCCTCCGCCCCACCATTCGTATAAAACCCTCCCCTCCGCCTCCCTCCTTCCGCCACTGCTAGGCTCATCCCCACCCCAACCCGCCTCGGCCCCCGCTGCCGCCAGCCACGGTCCCGCCTCGCCGTGGCATGAGAAGATGGCCGCGTGCTCCAGGGGCCTCGTGTGGCCGCCGTTCGATCTGACCACGGCGAGGGGGGCGGCGTCCTGGCCGCGCCGGCGTGCCGCGATCCGGTGCTGCTGCGCCGGGGCCGACTCGGAGCCGCGGAGGCGACTCTCGAGGGCGGCCGCGGTCGCGCCCGAGCGCGCCGAGGAGTGGCGCATCGATGGGAACAAGCCATCCGCCGCGGCACCGGGCCGGCGGCGCGCCAGCCTCACCGCTATGCCCCCTCTCCCCTTCCCTGCACCTCGGTACGTGGGAGGGCGGCTGGCCACGTCGCATCTAGGGATTTTTTTAGTTCTATACGGACTTGTAGAGTGTGCCCGGCCTCGCATTTTACAGTTATCAGTCGATTGCATCATTCCGACATTTGGTTTTTTGTGCTAATTTAGATTGCGCAATGACAGGTTATCGTGCCAATGCTTTTATCAGAAGCCTCACATATTGTACTAGTTCAATGAACATTGCTTAGGGAATGGAATTCTGACACTCATTTTTTTGTTTACTAGTATAGTTCTAGAAGGCAGTTCAAGCAACAGGACTTCTACCCGCGGTGCACCCCGAGGGGGCCGGCTCCTCAATCCCGTGATACCCCGCCCAAGAGAGGTTGGTCCCTTGCTGACATTGTCAATTCCAAAGAACATTCCCTCAGGAATGTCGGTTTACTGCGAAATGAAATGATCCCACTTGTAGAGTCCCAATTTTAGCTCTATGCTTTGCTAAGGAAATGCATGTGTTTGTTTGGCACCTGCCTTATAGACACTGGTATTGCTAGTGAGAAGGAATGGGGAATCAACTTGCCGGATGAAGCAGTCAAGGAGTCTGGAATAAATGAAGATGGAAGCACTTGGTACAGGGAGAGTGGAGAAGATATTGGCGAGAACGGGTACCGCTGCCGCTGGACAAGAATGGGAGGACAGAACCATGATGGTTCCACCGAATGGAAAGAGACTGTATGTTTTTGGGCTTTTGGCTCTTTACATTCAGTTGCCTTTACAACATGCTTTCAGCTTTAAATAATTTAATCTTACTTTTATGTACTATATGTGCTTGAGTAGGAATTCAACTTTAAGCACAATATACAAGTTTCTACTACCATTTTATAACTATTATGTGTCTGCCAGTATGACTTTTAGTGTTTGGGTTTGCTTTGATTTTCTTGATGCTAAATTTTGAACATTTTTAGCATTACCTTTTGAACTTAGGTAATTCGATAGTCATGAAAATTATTGAATCGCTCGAAAACTCTAGCATGCACACTGGAGCATGCAAGCTTTCATCTGGCTTCAACTTCACTGTAGTCAATCCGGCTTAGAGGTTTGAGACTGTAAGACCACAAAGCTAAACACTCAACTCCATTGAAAATTACAAAATACTGGTCTAAGAATCATTCTTTTTCATCAAAGGACCTAACTGAAGTTTGCAAGTTCAGTAATCTTGTTGTTTAGTTCACTTCAAATCTTAACAACATCGTGTAACATTATTCTGTGTGGCAGTGGTGGGAGAAAAGTGACTGGACTGGATATAAGGAATTAGGTATGCAAATTATTCTTTTATTATGGAGGCTCTTCCTCTTTGATAGCATAGTCATATTATCAAAGTGTTTAATCAGCATGATTCTTGTGCATGAGCATGCAAATTTCGTTCGTAGCTATGTTCAATGCCTTTGCTTTTTGTTCTTTAAATGTATGCTTATTGCTTGCATCTGTCATAAACTCGTGACTAACTTTTCAATGTAATAATTATAAAACATTAGGCGCGGAGAAATCTGGGAAGAATGCTGAAGGTGATTCTTGGTGGGAGAAATGGAAAGAAGTTCTGTACCAAGATGAATGGAGGTAAATTAGCTAAATTGTGGATTCAGATATTTTAAGTGTACCTGTCCTGCCCTTGTGTTAGACACAAGGTTTAGTCTCAACTGCAAGCTTAACTCACCTTTTTTGTAACATAGAGTTGTATACAGACATTCTTTTAGCCTTATTTTTTAAGGCTACTTTGAAATCAATGGTGATTCTGTAGCTCTGCTGAGAACTTAAGATTAGTTTTCACCTGTTTGCAGCTTATAACATTGTTTAATAGTTATACATCCATGCTATTTAGATCATTAGATCCGAAATTTAGTGTGCTGTTATTGCACGGACAGGATTCCAATACAATCTGCAAACAAATGATCAGCTATGTCATCGTTCTTGATACCTATTTGGAGATCCAGCCCATCCAGTGGTGTATCTGTCAGTATGTGTCGGACTTCTAGCCCAACCTTTTGCTTAAACTATACCTACCATATGTGTCAGTTTCTTCATTGATGTCCATCGAAAGCTAGAAGTTAGAACAATCTCACTTGAGGGACACTGACATGGTTTACCTTGTCCAATACAGCAATCTTGCAAGAATAGAGAGAAGTGCTGAAAAACAAGCAAAATCAGGTGTAGAAAATGCTGGGTGGTATGAGAAATGGTGAGAAATGGATCATATTTTTGCATGGTTCTGGTTGAACGTCTTCTGTAAAGTTATTTTTATCGATCAATTTTCTCTATAACAGGTGGGAGAAATATGATGCCAAAGGTTGGACAGAAAAAGGTGCTCACAAATATGGAAGGTTGAATGAGCAGTCCTGGTGGGAGAGATGGGGTGAACATTATGATGGCTGTGGATTTGTTTTGAAATGGTGAGCCTCTTAATGTTTTTAGCACTAGCTATGTGGCCATATAAGATAATCCTTATACAGCTGGTGTTGTGCTTAATCTTCAATGTTTATTGCCCGAATCCCACAGCAGTGTATTTTGTTGCTTATTATGTGTTTGCATGTTCATTGGTTGGTTAATTACGCTAAGATACGCGTCTGACACTGGCATATAGTTTATAGTGATACTGTGATAGGGAGTTTTTCTGAGGGACAACTTGATGCCTTCTATTTCAATTTTGTACTGACAGTTCAGATATTGGAAAGCTGTTTTGGTACTTTGTCCGCTCAACTTCCAGTGGTGGTTGATAACACCTGCATTGCATGAATGTTCTTAACAGGACAGATAAGTGGGCAGAGACAGACTTAGGCACCAAATGGGGGGACAAGTGGGAGGAGAAATTCTTTGCAGGAATTGGTTCTCGACAAGGGGAGACATGGCATGTATCTCCTGGCGGTGAACGTAAGATCCATCACCACTAAATACCGTATGTGCACTGCATTTTTCTCGTATGTATGCAAGTAACTAAGATATGTTACTGCCTCCAATTGCAAAACATAACGTTGTTTTTAGAATACGCTAATTATTTTCTAAGTATGACCATCATGACAGAAAACGTTTAGGTTTGCCACTTGATATTTTTATTCTAGTTGCATTTTATACGAAATTGGTCGCTTGAAGACCATGCCAATTGCCAATGTCCAAAGATGTTTTGAAATCTAGGCTAGCATATCAGCGTACCTTTATATCATGTATACTTTTGAAATGTGCTACAGCCTTTTATCATTCCACTGTGATGGTGCTGGACCCACTACTTTATGATACATATAAAGTGCTGGACCCACTATCTTTTGCTTGGAATAATATGTAGGCTGATACTTCACTTGTGCTGAAACTTTCAGGCTGGTCAAGAACTTGGGGAGAAGAACACTTTGGTAATGGGTACGTGACATAATAATGTTTTGGTCTAGCATTGTACATATTATTTGACTGGAGTCTGTGCTGCATAACCTGCATTTAGACTGCATTCTTTTCAAACATCATATCGGTATTTTAGACTGCAGAATTTTCCCAGCATCAACATGCAAATTATCATTATCTTAGATATGGATACTAGTAGTAAATCGTTTTGAAGTCTGACTATTCTGTTGCTAATTTGCTACACATGGATCACAACTAAACCATATTTGTCTTGGATTTCAGAAAAGTCCATAAGTATGGGAAGAGCACAACTGGCGAGAGCTGGGATTTGGTAGTCGACGAGGAGACATACTATGAGTAAGACATTTGTTCCGCTGATGCTCTGAAACATCTCCTCGGCGCTAATTTGTCCACAGGTTGGATGCATTTGAATCTCATCGGTTTGCAAACATGTGATCCAGGGCGGAGCCCCATTATGGATGGGCCGATGTCGTCGGAGACTCGACACAGCTGCTGTCCATACAACCTGTGGAGAGGCCACCCGGAGTGTTCCCGGCCATCGACTTCAGCTCCGCGCCCCCACCAAAGGACGCTCCGCCGGGCATGCCTCCTTCTTCCCCTCTGGATGGAGTGGATTAGATCTGCCAGCACAAACGAATTTTTCTTTCTACTACTAGGCTCCAAATTTTGCCTGTAAGGGAAACATTCTTTGTAGGAAGTTGATGGACCCCGTTTCCTGCGTCCGTTCGTTCATTGGTTGGTTCATTCTTTGCTACGCTTTCCTTTCCTCCCAAACATGGCCTAGCGTTCCTCTGATTGGGATATTTTTTCTTAGGAACCAGGTGAATGAAATAATCAAACGGTCCCCCATGGTTGTGTTGCCTCTGTGTGCTTGCTAATGCTCGCTGAAGATAAGCCTCTGTACTTCCGACTTCGTCTCAAGGCAGTGGACAAAGCTTTCTACAGCACGAACGCGCTTAAGCTCAGTGCGCGTCCGCGTGATGTCGACAGGTCTACCTCAGGTCGCTGGAAACTCGGCCATTTTCCTCGCGTCCAAGGTCTCGGACTCTCGGTCGACGCCCCATCATCGATAACGCCCGTCGGAACCCGGAAGCCGGAACTAGTGCGACTACCGACTAGGCCACTCGGCCCACCAGAAAGTCCTCCCATTTTCCCTGCTGGGGCCAGACCTCCGGAACTTCTCCACATGAATGAATTTTGCAGAAAAGTACAGCTCCTCTATTTTTCATTCAAGGCAACCAAACGGAGAGGGGTCCACACCGCGAGCATTGAAGGGCATGTACAGCGCGTCTGTATACCTCGTCTGTACGTCGTGTATTTTACAAAAAGAACCCCCGAACTGAGCAGACGAGCTCGCCCCGGCGCTTCGCGAGACGACGAGCGTGGCTCGTGGTCCAAGAAGCCGTCATCTCTCTAGAGTCGCGTTGTACGGGGGAGTCGACGAGCGGAGGATCCAGTGCGGGCGCGCGCGCGCGGAGGAAGTTGAGGGCGCGCGGGAATGGATTTTGCGCGCCAAATCCACCGCCGTCTCCATATATTCTTCAATCTTTCCGGGAAACTTCACCAGCGAGATGGACCACCCTAGCACACCATCGGATTCAGGCGCGGCGGCGGCGCCGGCAACGTTGAGAGTGGCGGCGGGGCGGAAGGGCAAGGTCGGCAGCATGCGGGCCTCTTCCTCCATTGGTCGTGGATCCAGCAGGGCAGCTGGCCTCTTCCCCGTTGGAGGCAGGTCCGGCTCGGCAGCCGGCCTGCTCCCCTTTGGTCGCGGATCCAGCCCGCCGGCCGGCCTCCTTCCCTTTGGCCGCAGATCCATGGCTGCATCCGGCGCGGCCGAATCCTCCCCTATCGGATTTTCGTTCCCTCCATCGCCACCTGCCGGCGCTAGTCCAGGGTCTTCCTCAGTTCGGCATTCAGATGCAACATGGTAAGAGAACTTGTGAGCCTCTTCGTTGTGATGTAGATTACTGCATGTTTTTTTTTTCTGAAAATAGATATCAGTAGATTATCAGTAGGTGTCTTTGATTATGAGTAGATTACTGCATGTCTTTGATTATCAGTAGAGTAGTGCATTTGGTTGACGTGATATGTTTCCCAGAAGAGTAGTTTGCTTCTTCTCTTTTGTATCTGCCTTACGTAGTGGTTATTAACATTTGCTTAATCAAGAAGGTAGTGGTTATTTATTAAATTAGTTGTAAGATTATCAGTAGATTACTGCATGTATTTGATTATCAGTAGATTACTGCATGTCTTTGATATATATATATGCTCCGAATGCTAATGTTACTAGTAGTTAGTAATATATATAGTAGTGGAACCTACCTGGCACAAAATTGTTGTTGTTTCTGTTGATTGCCATAGTTTCCAGATATCAGTAACCGGATTGCCGGCTTAAACCACCCAGTAAAGAACCTTTTGTGTTCAATCTTCATTATGTTATGCCAAATGTATTCATAGGAAAGTCTCTTTTTCCTCTTATGAGTGCATAATTAGAGGTAACCTGATGAGAAAGCAAGCTTGTGTTATGCATTTTGGATAACTTTTATGGTTTTTTCTAGTTTACTGAACCTTAGTATGTGCAATTATTCTCTGCACCTCAAAGCACACTTAATAGCAATTCAATGATGATAAGGACAGCTGAATGCTCACATTGTTGACTCATTTCTTGATAAGGACAGGATATTTCATTCTTGTATGTTTCATGATGGTAGTTGCTCTGTCACTATTTCTTTTTATAGGGATAAAGACACACAAGGTGGTTTCATGAGGTACTTTGGCAATCAGCCACATAATTTTCATTTGGTTGGTACACCTTCTCACAATAGCCATGTCAATATATCTATTCCTGAAACCAATGGAGGAAGTTCTCCCTTAGAGGTGGAATTCTTATCAGAGCAGCTACCTGTTCTAGTCAATGATGAGAACGAAATGGTTAGGACTGAGAAGCGGATTATGTGGACACCACAAGAAGATGAAAGATTGATGAGTGCTTGGATTGAAAATTCAACGGACTCAACCACTGGAGCCGATAGGAAGGGCGAAGCATATTGGGGTGATGTTATCAAGGCACCGCAAAGGAAAAGGAATGCAAAGCAAGCCAAGGATCGTTGGCACAAGATTAATAGGTGGTGTGACCTCTTTGAATCTGAGTATTTGAAGGCTCGTAGGGTGTTCACAAGTGGCTACTCCGATGAGATGTGGATGGATACAGCCGAGAAGTTCTATTTGGATCACAAGCTTGGACCCTTTGTGATTAAGAATGTTTGGAAAATTTGTCGTGAAGTGCCGAAGTGGAAAACATACAACGAAGAGCTGAAGAACACTCGTAAAAGGAAGTCATATCACCTCGAAGAAGATGTGGAAAATGTTGACAGTGAAGATGAGATGCCAAAGCGACCAATGGGACAAAAGGCAGCTAAAAAGTCCGCTCTTACTGCAAAAGGCAAGTCAAAGGCAATGGGTGATGATGGAAAATCAGAGGAATCCGCAAATCATGTGGAACAGCTTGATAAATTGAGCAAGATCAAGAAGAAGTTAATGCAAACCGCATGAAGGTGCTAGAGATGCAGCAAAAGTTGTCTTCCGATAAGATTGAGACCACAAGGCTTATCTATTTAACAGCACAGGAGAACAGAGAGTCCAAGAAACTTGAGATGGAGGGGAGGAGGCTTGAGATGGAATCAAAGAAGCCTGAGATGGAGGGGAAGAAGCTTGAGAAAGAATCAAAGATGATGGATGCATATAACAACCTCATCTCACAAGATACAAGTTCAATGACAGACAACGAAAAGTCTGAGCGACTTGCTGCCATGAAGTGTTTAAGGAAGATGTTTTTTCCTGAAACTATCTAATGATTATTCTGAAGTTTCCCAGGTGCAGTGTATGCTTCCTGATTTTACATGTTATCTTGCTTCCTGATTTTACATGTTATCTAATGATTATTCTGAAATTATCTTGCTATATGCTTTCTGATCAGCAGCATGTCATCTCATATGTCTGTTGTTGAATTCTCAGTTAGCTTTCTCAGCTGAAAACTACTATCAGTTGTTCGTTTGATCTTCTCCTTCGTTCTGTTTGTTTACAGGATGAGAATCAGAAAGCTAGTTGTTGTCAAAGCTCAACAAGATGCTGATGTATGGAACTGTCATGCTTTTATTTTCTAATTTCATAGTACCTTGAAAATTTGCTATTTTTTTTTGGCTGTCATGCTGATGTATGGAGTTGCAGAAATGCCAATGCATAGTACCTTGAAACATTTCTAATTTCTTTGGCTTCATTTTGTGTATTCAACGTAGCTATGAATCCATTATCTATCAAACAGCAACACAATGGTATACAAAATGATATTCATGAATGATCTTAGCTACATACAAAGTATTAAATAGTTTGCAGACGACCCCTATCTGTGGGTTGTATGATCTGTCCTTCTAGCTATCTATACATTAGATTTGAGACTCTTGCAGACGATTTTCGGTCTGCCCTATGCCCTAAGCCCTAAGCCACACGACTCGAGCCCGTCAAACAAGCACTCAAACCTCCCTCCCTCCCAAGCCTATTTGGCTATTTCCCATTTCCCCTCGCCGCGGCGCAGGCAGCAGCATGACGCCGTTCGCCGCCCGCCTGGCCGCACCGGCCGCCATGTCCGCGCTGCTGTTCCTCCTCCTGCTCGCGGCGCCGGCCTCAGCCACCAACTTCACCTGCGCGACGGTGGGCAAAACATGCCAGTCGGCCATCGGCTACGCTTTGCCGAACGCGACCACCTACGGGGACCTGGTCACCCGGTTCAACAACCACGACGACGCTCGCGGAGCTCCTGGGCGCCAACGGCCTCCCCGCGTCCACGCCGGCCTCGACGCCGCTGGCGGCCAAGACCACGGTGCGCGTCCCGTTCCGGTGCAGGTGCGGGAGCAACGGCGTGGGGCAGTCCGATGGGGGGCCCATCTACGTGGTGTACCCGCAGGACGGGCTGGACCACATCGCCCGGGACGTGTTCGACGCCTTCGTCACCTACCAGGAGATCGCCACCGCCAACAACATCCCCGACGTGAACCTCATCCAGGTCGGGCAGAAGCTCAGGATCCCGCTGCCCTGCACCTGCGACCAGGTGGACGGCGCCGACGTGATGCACTTCGCGTACAGCGTCGCCAAGGGGGATGACCCGCCCGGAATCGCCGCCAAGTTCGGGGTGACCGAGAACACGCTGCTGAGTGTGAATAAGATCACCGACCCCAAGAGCCTGATGCAGGGGCAGATCCTGGATGTACCCCTCCCTGGTAAGCTGTGTTCTCTCTTCATCTTACTACGCTGCTGGGTACACATGTTGCTTCCAGTCTTATGAATCCATAACTGGTTGTGAATTGTGAGGATGATGGAGTGAAAAATGCTAGTAGTTCTGCTTAGGACGTAGGAGACATAGAAGTGGTGAAATTTTTGTTACAAGAAGAAAAATGACTTCATGATGGGAAGCAGAGGGATTAGTTGTTTTGCTTTCATAAATTCCTCCTAGGTAACATATAGGTCTGCTAAATGCCCAAATCAAATGTAGGGTTCTATAGTATATTGTTTAGACAATTGGATTCAACAATGGTTCCCTTGGCTGTAGATTCTTTTTTTTTTGTAAAAAAAAAAAGATCTGTTGACGACTTGGTGAGCTGGACAAGGTTGTTGCACATGCATGTTTCCGTTGTTCAAAGAGGGAGAGACCTCATAGGCTCAGCTCAGACCACCATTATGGACGGCATGGAGCATTTAGACAAGTCGCTATTGGTTCATCCTGTGTGGCAGGACAAGTCCACCTATTTGAATATTCAAGAATCCCACAACTCAGAATTCGTTTAAGATATCAACTTTTTATTCATATACGTAAGTTGTTATTCGTTGCTATCACCGGATAAACTGTCTGACTTCGTGTCTGAACATGCAACTAGCACAGAAAGCTAACTAAGCTACAAGTCACAATTGTCAAAGATATTTGGACACATCCTTTTGACTACTACTCAATATCTCTCTTTTTTGTTTCATGATAACAAAAGGGATTTCGCAACCCGGTCGGTACTAACTGTTCATGGAATTTCTGTGCTCGCAGTTTGCCAGTCATCGATCAGCAACACGTCGGCTGATTACAACCTGCTCGTCCCGAATGGCACCTACGTGCTCACCGCCGACGACTGCATCCAGTGCAAATGCAGTGCAAGCAACTACGAGCAGTAAGCTCCCATTTCTCGTTTGGTGTCTCTAGATCAGGGACCATGACGATTCACAATTGTTTCCCATGTGATTACCAGCCTAGACTGCAGTCCTGTGCAAGGCAGAAGGTGCCCGGCAGTGCCGTCCTGCAGTGGAGGCCTGACGCTCGGGCAGGCCAACGGCACCGATTGCGCGTCCAGGATGTGTGCTTACAGCGGTTATACCAACACCACGTCTCTCACCTTACATACCAGCCTTGTGTCTGCAAATGAGACTGCGTGCCAGAGTAAGTAACAGCCTGCAACTCTGTAGCCGTTAACAATTGTGTGCCTGAATTGTGATAGGTTTCTGATGGTTTTGTCTTTCAGAGGGAGGAGCTGCGAGATCGGAGTTTGCCGGGTCCATGTGGAGGACGTCCATCATCGCCTTCCACATGGCGCTGATCCTGATCTGCCTCCTTTGATGCTATAGAGGTTAGAGCTGTAGATGTTATATGATTGTGCCACTGCCTGATACTCAGATTGCTGTTGTAACTTAGGAGTGATGTTTATGTTGGACTGGTTCATCCAGATTTTGTTGGCGATTGATCTAGCTGTTTGAATAAAGCAAACATAAGTTTGCATCTGGGAGTGAACATTTATTAAAATTGGACGACCCAATAAATCATTCACCAACTAGAGCCTGACAGAGTAAATTGGACGACCCAATAAATTGGAATATCATTTTACTATAGAAGTTCATGTTTCACTGCACAGATGACAGATGTGAAAGCATGAGTGCATGACTGAATGCCTGGCTGCCCTGATCGATGGTGGCTAAGCAGAGTTGACCAAGATAAACTATCAGCAGAGCAGACTGCTAGAAATATAATGGGCATGTTCCCAGCAGCAAAGTCAACTAGAGCCTGCTTCGATCTGGCTTGCGCAGGCTTCCCATGGCCCTGGCCTTCTCCCGGAGCAGATACTTCTGCGTCTTGCCGGTGGAAGTCTTGGGGAGGTCGCTGAACACCACCGTCCTGGGCGCCATGTAGTGCGGCAGCCGTGCCCGGCAGAAGCCGATGATGTCATCAGCGGTAGCCGCCGCCCCGTCCTTGAGCGTGACGAAGGCGCACGGCGTCTCGCCCCAGTGGTCGTCGGGCCGCGCGACCACCGCGGCGTCGAGCACCGCGGGGTGCCCGAACAGCACCGACTCCACCTCGATGGAGCTGATGTTCTCGCCGCCCGAGATGATGATGTCCTTGGACCGGTCCTTGAGCTGGATGTACCCGTCCGGGTGGCGCACGCCGAGGTCCCCCGTGCGCAGCCACCCGCCGTGCATGGCCTCCTCCGTGGCGGCCGCGTCCTTGTAGTACCCGCTCATGACGGTGTTCCCGCGGAGCATGACCTCGCCGACGGCGCGCCCGTCGGAGGCCAAGGTCTCCATGGTCACCGGGTCCTTGATGGCGACCTCCTGGAGCATGGTGTGGGCGATGCCCTGCAGCGCCCTGATCCGGGCGCGCTCCGCGGGCGGCAGCGCGTTCCACTCGGGCTTCCACACGCACACAGTTGCCGGCCCGTACGTCTCCGTGAGGCCGTACCCGTGCACGACGTCGAAGCCGAGCTCGTCAATCTTGGCCAGCACCTGTGGAGGCGGCGGCGCGCCGCCCGTCGAGATGCGCACCCTCCTCGGCAGCGGCTTCCGCTCCGCCGACGGCGCGTTCACGATCATGTTGAGCACCGTGGGCGCGCCGTGGCGCACGATGTGGTCGAAGATCACCCTGGGGATCACGCTCCCGATGCAGACGCTCGTGCCGCCCTGCGCCGCGGTGGCCCACACCATGCACCACCCGTTGCAGTGGAACATGGGCACGGTCCAGAGGTAGACGGGCATGGTCGCCATGTCGTTGACCAGCACCGTGGCCAGCGAGTTCAGTAACGCGCCGCGGTGGCTGTAGATGACGCCCTTGGGCCTCGACGTGGTCCCCGACGTGTAGTTGAGCGATATTGGGTCGCGCTCGTCGGCAGGCCACCGGATGTCGAACCCGCGCGGCGCGCTCGGCAGAAGCGCTTCGTACTCCATGACGCTGCCGTCGTTGTTGCTGCTGCTGGCGGCGTCAGAGATCGTGATGACGAGAGGAAGCTTGTGTTTGGCGTCGGCAAGGAGCCTGAGTGCGTCGCGGGCCACGGCGTGGAACTGCGACTCCACGAGGAAGATCTTGGCTTCCGAGTGTTTCAGCAGGACGGACACCATGGCTGCGTCGTGGCGAGTGTTGAGCGTGCACAGGACGCCGCCGGTCATGGGCACACTGAAATGGAGCTCGTACATCGCCGGAACGTTCGAGGCGATGACCGCGACCTGATCCGCAGCACAGGCACAGCACACGGGAAAGTACAAAGTAGAGATCACCAGCCGTTCCTCATCACACGGAAAACCAGACAGGTCGTCATCCTCCAGTGGCTTACCACGTCTCTGCGCCCGACGCCGAGATGCGCGAGCGCGGACGCCCCGGCGAGGCACCGCTCCCGCGTCTCGCGCCACGAGAACCGCCGGTCGCAGCAGACGACGGCCGTGCGGTCGCCGTACACGACCGCGGCGCGCTCCAGGAAGCTGAGCGGCGTCAGAGGCACGTAGTTTGCACCGCACCACGTGGACCCATCCACGGCAGAGCGTGTGTGTCAGTGTGTGAGATGGGAGAGCTGGTCCTTGGATCAATCGCAACGCGACCCAACATGGATAACGAGATGATTAACAAGATTAGAACACTTTTATAAACGAGATGACGAGCGAGTCATCTTTGGACGCATAGGAGGCCGGTTGGCTCAGTCACATTTCGTGTGCATTTGTTAAGTGCATGTGCGACATTATACTATTGTACTCATCACTGAGCCTGATCGAGGCAAAAACTAACGGAATATTGTAGTACGAACCTAACATCACGGGCGCGGCATCATGCAAGCGGAATCGACTTTTCTATGCCTACATATGGCCAGGTGAATTGAACAGGTAAGAAACAATTTTCTTTTCTCCACTACGCCGAACATGTTTGGATATGTTTGGTTCTAGGAACGAGATAGTTTATCATATACTCATTCCTCGCTTTTTTTTGATTTGTGAAATGGAATAAGTTGATTCATCACCACCTTATTACTCACAAGCTAATAATTAGTACTAATGTGAGGAATGAAATAATTCCATAAAATTTGAAAAAACGAACTCATAATACACCACCTCATATATGATGGAATGACTCCTCAAACCAAACATGCTACTGTGAATGTAGTCTCTTACTTCTATGCTAACGTATGGCCAGGTGCGTTGAACACGTATGAAACAATTTTATTTATTTTCACAAGCACGTGGAAATTGTTTTGTGAACTTGAAATAGATTCCTCACCGTTTGATGTGATTTTTCTTTAATTTCTCCTGCTCATCCGATGTTCCGGAGATGCTATTGGATTCTTTTTAGATCATATTAAAATCCAACAATACATATTTTTCAATTAATCTTATAATTTCTTGGTCCTAAACCCTAGTCTTATATGGCTATAGTCATATTATTTATTCTAGACTCTTTATATTTGGCTATAATCGTGTATGTTCCATGCGCTTTTTTAGTTTTTTCCATGCTCTCTAAACACAAATTTCTTAAATTAACGATGTACTTATCCTTATGTATCAAATCAATCTCTACATGTAGTTATAATAGTTAGATTCCAGCAGTAGATGAATAATTGCAAATGTTTGTGTGTACGAGATTAGAATAACTTAAAAATAATTGACATATTTTTTTATTTTTTTCCAATTAGAAAAATACATGAAAAAGAAAGGAGGTAGAAAAATTTGTTGATTTATGGTTAAAGAAGAAAAACAAAAAAACATGGGTTCTGTTGAATTTCAAGTATTCAGTTTCATACAGAGACTTGCTTCACATTTAGAATTGATCGACCACAATTTGACAAACCATATATATCTCCTTTTTAATGAAAAAAATTGGCCCCGTTCGCGTGTCCGTAAACCCGGCTTGATCCGCTTCTTTTTTCATCCGGAATAGTGTTTTCCTTTCATAAATTCCTCCAGATTCATCCAAGCGAACGGGGCCAAAAATATGTATTATATGGACTCTCTATTCCTTCCAAATAAGACATGGACTCTTTATTTAGAAATAATTCGTATGGAAAACTACTAATTTTGATAGCATGCAACCAATTTAATTTTTTTATCTATCTATCATGGATTCTTTCGTCATTCTAGACCACTCGTTCATCATAAAATCTAATGGTGTAGATTTTTTTATTAATCTAGTGTATTCTTTGTTTTAATCTAAGCTGTTAAATTATCATAAAATTCAACTATGGATATTATTTTTTAATTAATCCCATAATTTGTGACCTTTTCGACGAACGTGGAGGCACCTTTGATTCTGTTGTATTAATATAGGCCCTGTTCGCTTGTCTTATAATCCGTACTTTTCAGCTTGTTTTTTCAGCTGGAACAGTGTTTTTCTCTCACAACAAATCAGCCGGAACAGTGTTTCGGCTTGTTTTTTTTAAGCGAAGCGAACTGGACATAATAGATGTAGTTTCTTTAGGCTGTTTTGATTTAGTTTATGGAAAGTGTTTCCGCTGCAAAAATGTCAACTAAACAGGTGAAATCTGAAACTGCCTTTTTAGAAGCAGCTACTTTAACGTATTTCAATTTTCATAGCACCTTTGTTTGAACCTGATTTTCACTTTCATCTTTCAACTTTTTCAAATAGGTGGAAACCTGAGGACGTTTTATAGTTGTTTCAAAGACAGATAGAGAGATATGTTTTATAGTTTTTTCAACTAAACAATTTATAGTTTTTTCACAGCACATAACTCATAACAACTTTTTTCACAAGCAAATAGCTCACAACGAGTAGCTCACAACAGTTATTTCATAACTCGCAACTGAACGAAACATACTCTTAATCTCTATTCGAGATGCAACTTGCTGTAGCATAGCCTGTTGGTGTGATTCCACTTTCATAATTCAAAATCACTATTTTTGCTTTCACAAATTAGTACCCGTTGATGGTTCTTTACTTCTTTGCGCTTGGGTGTGATAAATCTTCACTTCTTGCACAACCTTGAACTAAAAATTCTCAGGCTGTTCAGCGATGACGACAATGGTAAGAACTCATCGGCCGCACAAGAATTTCAGAATATGCTTCAGTTCCAATCCAAGAAGACGCAGGACACAGGGCAGTGCTCTAAAAAATGGCCACCGTTTAATTCCAGGAATAAAAAATCGCAAGAGCTTGGTCATCATACAACTACAATAATACCACGATTTCCTCATATACAAAATAAAATAAACAGCGCAATCATACAAGAGAATGGCAGTGATCTCTCACACTTTGCCACTGTCAGTCTTTGTCAGGCTGCCCATAGCCCGGGCTTTCTCGCGGAGGACAAACTTCTGCGTCTTCCCCGTCGGTGTCTTGGGCAAATCCTCAAACACCACCGTCCTGGGCGCCATGTAACGGGGCAGCCTCTCCCGGCAGAAGCTTATGATCTCGGCTTCCGTGGCGCTGGCGCCGTCCTTCAGCTTGACAAACGCGCATGGCGTCTCGCCCCAGTGGTCGTCTGGCCTCGCCACGACGGCCGCCTCGAGAACGGCCGGGTGACTGGACAGCAGCGTCTCCACCTCGATCGAGCTGACGTTCTCGCCGCCGGAAATGATGATGTCCTTGGCCCGGTCCTTGACCTGGATGCTCCCGTCGGGATGCCGCACGGCGAGGTCCCCCGTGTGCAGCCACCCGCCGGCCATGGTTTCCTTGGTCGCGTCGAGGTCCCTGTAGTACCCGCTCATCATCGTGTTGCCTCGGAACATCACCTCGCCCAGCGTCCGGCCGTCGCGCGGCACGCTCTCCATCGTGTCCGGGTCCTTGACGTCCGCGTCCTGCACCGCGAAGTGGTGGCACCCCTGGCGCGCCTTGAGCCGCGCGCGCTCCTCGGCGCGGAGCGCGTCCCACTCCGGCGTCCACGCACACACGGTCGCCATCCCGCACGTCTCCGTCAGGCCGTAGACGTGGTACAGGACGAAGCCGAGCCTCTCCATCTCCACCAGGACGTGGGGCAGCGGCGGCGCGGCGCCCGTGATGACGCGCACCGTCCCCGGCAGAGGCTTCCGGTCCGCGGCCGGCGCGTTCACGATCATGCTGAGCACCGTGGGCGCGCCGCCCATGTGCGTCACCTTCCACCGCGCGATGCTGTCGAAGATGTCCTTGGCCGCGAAGCGGCGGAGGCAGACGTTGGTGCCTCCTTGCATGGCGAGCCCCCACGTCAGGTTCCAGCCGTTGCCGTGGAACATGGGCACGGTCCACAGGTACGTGGGCGCGGTGCCGACGTCGTAGATGAGCACCGTGGCGACGGTGTTGAGGTACGCGCCGCGGTGGCTGTACACCACGCCCTTGGGCCGCGACGTCGTGCCGGACGTGTAGTTCAGAGAGATCGGGTCCAGCTCGTTGACCGGCCACCGGATGTCGAACTGTGAAGGGGCGTTTTCTATCAGGTCCTCGTAGTCGGTACACGTGCGGCCCGAGGCGGCGGCGCCGGGTTCGCCGTCGTCGTCTGTAATGGTTAGAAGAACCGGAAGGGTGGCGGCGCTAGACTCGTCGAGGATCTTCAGCGCGGTTCTCCCAACGTCGAGGAGGTGAGACTCGACGAAGAACACCTTGGCGCCGGAGTGCTTCAGTAGAACGGACACCATGACTGCGTCATGTCTGGTGTTGAGCGTGCAGAGGACCGCGCCGGCCATGGGCACGGCGAAGTGCAGCTCGTACATCGCCGGCACGTTGGGGCTGAGGACAGCAACCTGAATAATAAGCATACATATAGCCGATTGTGTTGTGGTTAGTCAAAGCTGAAGGACGGCGAAAAGGTGCGCCCTCCTTTCGAAATGTACCATTTTACTCCCAAAAGCAAAAGGTGCTCCCTCCTTTCGAAATGTACTATTTTACCCCCAAAAGCAATACCATTCGGTGGCTATAAGAACTTTATTTTAGTTGGTTAGGACAAGTATTGATTTCATTAATACTCCACGCATAAGAGGTTGAAAAAGACATCTTGCCATCAACTATATCACAAATGGCATTTCATATGATCTTTCTCATGCCATCACATCTGAAAAGAAGGAAAAGGCAGCGACAACTAACATTAGCGTACAATCATGGAGATAGAACGAATGCATGTGAAACGACAAGGTGTGCAAACAAACAAACAAGGGTATACGTTGAATTGATTGAGGAATTGTCTATCCAGGGAGTATGTGTCAAATTTTACACCTATTTTTTTTTATCAAAATGTGTTACCCAAAACCGTACTACCTATCTTCTTCATTTTTTTATCCACTCGTTGCCATTTCCATCCTCGGATGCGACCGTGCCTCCCACTTTCGCCGCTCCACCTCTAGCCGCCTAGTCATCGATGAAAACGGTTAAAAGGAGACGTGACTGCTTGTCCCCCTCTTGTATTGTACCACCTCTTTTGGTGAATTACGGAGTATTTCTGTTGGATTTATTGCAAAGGACACTGCAATTCAAACACCCCCTTAAAGCATCTCCAACGAATTATCTATCCTTCATCTTCTAAGAGCCTACATAGTATCTATCCTTCGTTTCATAAAAATATATGTAGGTCATCTTCTATTATTATTACTTATTGGTAGTGCAATTTTTTTTTTTTTTGCTCTAAAAATTTACCAATACCTTTAAAGTATATTGGGGAGATGGAGTGGATCTTCTACATTTGAGAGAGATGGTAAATTTTAAAAACTTTTAGATATAGTGATATGATAAGTAATCTGTGGAAGCAACAATAATGCTTCATATTACGTTTTTTTAAGTATTGGACATGGAAATAATTAATCTGTTGGAGGTGCTCTAAGCTCGATGGCCTTAAGTAAGCCCACAATCCAAATCGTTGAGTCTCAATGCAATGGTGAGGATCGGAAAAAGAAAAAGGTTGGAGATACAAGATATCGCTCGCTCGAAGCGTTGAAGCGTTGATTCCTCAAAAAAGCGTTGAAGCGTTTAACCATCGGATGGATCCTTTTCGAAAAAAAAAAACCGTCGGATGGACGTCCTGTGAGGCTGTGACCTCTCTTCTACCTCAAGGCTTCAAGCCAACGATATCACGAGACGACGCGAGCGAGGAGTGCGAGAGAGTGTCAGATTTTCACTTACCACATCGCCGCGCGCCACGCCGAAGTGGGTGACGAGCGCGGCCGCGACGCGGACGCACCGGTCCCGCACCTCGCTCCACGTGCGCCGCCGCTCCCCGTACACCACCGCGGGGCGGCCACCGTACACGGCCGCGGCGCGCTCGACGAAGCTGATCGGCGTCAGCGGCGCGTGGTTGGCCGCGCACCGCACCGTGCCGGCCTCCGGGTCTAGCACCACCTCTCCGCCCGCCTCCTCCCCTCCCGCGAGGCTGGAGAACAGTAGAGACGACGCCACGGCCGCGGCCGGCGGGTGGTATGGTGCCGAGAAAGTAACGAGCGCGCGAGCTCGGGCGAGGTGATCCGAGTGCCGACTCGCGTAGCGGCGGGGCTGGTTCGGTAGGTGTGGCCCGATGCCGCTGCTGCGCTGGTGCAATTGTCTACGGAAGAATGCAAGGGCTGCCGCGGCTCTCATGGCTCTAGCGACACAGCTGAAGCTCTCGATCAGGCGGATCGGTTGCTCGGACTCGGAGAAGACAATGGGAGGAGTGCACGAGCATCCAAATGGGGAGTAGAAGATGTGCAGGCTGATCCGCTGACGCTGGAGCTGTGATATGGTCGGTGATCCGAGGCTAAGCTATTTTATTCTATTAGCAGCTGATCTGTACTATTCCATTTGCAGCTCATCTGTACTATTCTATTAGCAGCTCATCTTTACCTATCCTCGGAGTTTTAATTTGAGCATTTCTACACTTGACAAAATTTGTACTAGTTTTTGCAGTACACATATGCTCTGAGTCGAAAGAAGTGCTTGCCTGTTTAGCCACCAGCAAAACATCATTAATTGGACGAGATCGAGATGTCCAAACAGAATAATTAATGTATAGTTGAGTCGATCATACGACAATACAAGAGACAATGTTCCAACCAGGCGAACGACGTTACATTTTGCTACGGGCAATCTTTGTGAGGCTGCCCATGGCGCGAGCCTTGTCACGGAGAACAAACTTCTGCGTCTTCCCCGTTGAAGTCTTGGGCAAATCCTCGAACACCACCGTCTTGGGCGCCATGTAGTGGGGCAGCCTCTCCCGTCAGAAGCTTATGATCTCCGCTTCCGTGGCGCTGGCGCCGTCCTTGAGCTTGACGAACGCGCACGGCGTCTCGCCCCAGTGGTCGTCTGGCCTTGCCACGACCGCCGCCTCAAGGACAGCAGGGTGGCTGAAGATCACTGACTCCACCTCGATGGAGCTGATGTTCTCGCCGCCCGAGATGATGATGTCCTTGGCCCGGTCCTTGAGCTCGATGTACCCGTCGGGATGCCGCACGGCGAGGTCCCCGGTGTGCAGCCACCCGCCGGCCATCGACTCCTTGGTCGCCTTCACGTCCTTGTAGTAGCCGCTCATCACGGTGTTGCCCCGGAACATCACCTCGCCCACCGTCTCCCCGTCGTGCGGCACGCTCTCCATGGTGTCCGGGTGCTTGACGTCCACGTCCTGCACCGCGACGTGGTGGAACCCCTGCCGCGCCTTGAGCCGCGCGCGGTCCTCCGCCGGCAGCGCGTCCCACTCGGGCATCCACGTGCACACGGTCGCCGGGCCGTACGTCTCCGTGAGGCCGTAAATGTGGTACACCACGAAGCCGAGCTCCTCCACCGCGAACAGGACGCGCGGCGGCGGCGGCGCGCCGCCCGTCATGACTCGCCCCGGCCCGGCAAACTGCTTAAGAACTTATTTAGATGCAATCGTCTTCACATCAATCCATACATGTTTAAATAAATTATTAGAGTAATCCCAGTGGGGATTAAAGTAGTAGCGGGACTGATTATCTAAGTGCGAGTGCGAGCGCGAGCTGCCGCTACCGCTACCGCTACCGCTGATGCTGATGATGCTGTAGCGGGGAAGTAGCCTGCGGATAGCAGAGGCCGCCGCGGCTCTCATGTCTCTTTACGCCACTGGTGGCTGCGGCAGGAACAGGGCATGTGCGAGTGCAGGCCGCGCAGCTGTAGCTCCCCCCCTCGTCCTGCTCCTGGATGATAGATAAGCTTGTCTTCTACACTTGATGCAGCCTTTTTTTCATTCACACACGAAAGAACGGCAAAAGCAAGGCAGACACACGAAAGAACGGCAAAAGCAAGGCAGGAGCTGGAGTTCACACAAAATTGGAGCTGAAGTTCACACATGTGAAGGTGAAGCGACACCCCTTCCTATAGAGTGATGATTTTACCGAAATTAAAGTAGACATTAGCAAATGATTTAGACAGTTACTGTGTCACAAACGAAGTATTGCCCTCTGGGCTCTGGGTCAGTTTAATATGCACTAAGACTATCTACAGTGTAGGTAAAAAAACGATGCTAAGATATACTTATGAGAGAAGTTTCAGGCATCGGATTATCATATTGCATAGGATATGATGAAACTGACTTGAAAAAGAGTAGCCTGAGAATCAAGTAGATGCCCCAGTCGTAACTAACTAAATAATGATTTCACAACCGGTTGTTGGAAGCAGATACAAAGGCATTGGTGTTCTGACAAATTGATCCCACTTGTACTTCGGCTCCTTTGAAACCGAGGATTTCCAAATGAAAAAAAAAACACAGGAATCAGCAATCTATAGGAATAGATATTGTAAAGTTCTTTGGTTTGCAGGGTTGATACATAGGAAGGTAAAGAAAATTTTCCTTCACTGACGATTTTGAACCTATTTCATAGGAATGGAAACATCCCCTCCAGCATAATCTTTTCCTCTCCCTTGCGTAGGAGAGGCATAATAACATCATGATTAGTACACACTGATGGACTTGAGAATGAGTGGATAAAACAATCAGCTTGCAAAGGGCTAAAGTCCCACACCATTAATTAAATCAATGAATGGGATTGTGCACTTCCTAATATTTCTATTCCTACGGCTTTCCTATGAGTATCCAAACATCCATTTTCTACAACTTTTATGTACTTTTTAATCCTCTGTTTTGCGATTGCATTCCTATGTTTTTTCTATATCTATGGTTTTGCAATCCTATGTTCTAAAGGGGGGCAAAGATGCCTAAAGATTTGATGTATCAAATGTTTTAGCGTGTCCTTTGAGAACAAGGTATAGGAGCAATTGAGGACAAGCCGTCATTTCCTCATGTCTTTTCTTACGCCCTCTGTTCTAAAAAGAATATAATTCTCACTTCTCGACGAGTCAAACAAATTTAAGTTTGATCAAATTCATATAAGAAAATATTTATATTTATGATGCCCAATAAATCATTAGATTAATTATAACATGTTTGTATTTTTATTGTAAATTCAATATAAATATTGATACTGTTTTATATAAAAATTGTCAAATCTAAGAAAGTTTACTTATCTCAAACATATAATTACATTCGTTTTAGAACGAAGAGACTATTGTACTAAAGACTCAGAACAATATAAAAACATAAATCCTTAATATTTAGATGTTGTTTGGTTACACCCAAGCAGCTTTGCCTGACGCTGCGCGCACTCGCATGGGACAGTCAGATCGCTGCCCAGCAGCCAATTCTCCTGGGTAGACTGAACTCTTGTACAGCTCGAGAAACACATTGAACAATAACGCCTGTATGGAATAGATAAAATTTCACATGATAGGGCACCTTAGTTTCTGGAAGGACTGCCCCGTCAAAGCAAAAGACTGGTTCAGTGATAACTCCGGCATTCAAAATTTTGTCAACTTATTTGAAAAACGACCACTGAAGAATGCTTCTCTGTTTCTACCACAAACACTTGATATAACTTCCCTTCAAAAAAACACTTGATATAACTTATTAGCTTCATGAAGGTTAGTCAGCACAGTCCAGGTCTCGATGTCTACGCCGCATTGCTGCTGACCTGCTTTATACTGCTGTATATGTTTGAACTGGAAATCTCTACATACTCTGGAAAATAAACCGTTCCTAGTTTCCTACCACATTTGTTAACACAATGTTTGGTGTTATTACAGCAGACTTAAGGGAACAAAACTATAACTGGCAGATTTTGGAGCCCTGGGTGACCCTTTTTCATCTTCATTAGCTTGCTTGGGCAGAAAGAGGAACACAAATAAAGCTCATCGACTCTCCAGCCTTGTGCCTGTGACGAAATGTCCAGAATGGCATTGGTATGCGTTTCGTCAACTGACGCCAGCGTCGCTCCCCCACGTGGGGCGACTCGGGCGGCCCCTGCTGCGCCGCCTCCCTCTCACCCCTCTCCTCCTCGCCCGCCGCGCCGCCGCCGGAGCTGGCTGCCGGCATGGCCGCCCGGCCGGCTGTGATGGTGGCGGCGGGGCTCTCCCTCCTCGTGTTGGCGGCGCACCTGCAGCAGGCCGGCGGTCCGGCCCCGCGCGACCGGCGTGGAGGTTGATGAGGTGGCTGCCGCGGCTGCTGCAGCGCTGGCTGGTGTCCGTGCAGGCGCAGAGGACAGCGGCGAGGCCTTCTTCTTCTCCGCGCGTTCCCCTTCTCCTCTCTTGATGGCGGCGGCGGCACTGGCTGAGGCCGCCGGTCCGGGGCCCAGTCGGCCAGATCCGGTGCCCGGGGGCCAGATCTGGACCCCAGATCTGGACCCCAGGCTGCCGGATCTGTCTTGGCGGCCGGCGGCGGTTGCGGCGGCGGCGGCAGTGGCCGGGGCCCATGCATGCGCTGGGGGGCGGTGCTTTCTTCTCTGCCATCCCTCCCCTCATGGCCTTGGCTATTGCGGCTGGCTGTGCCCGGGGTAGCGACCTCTGCCGGCTAGCCTGCCCGCGGCGGCCGGTCTGGCGCCCAAGGCGAACGGTGTCTGTAGCTATGGTCAAGACGGAGGCGTCGGCGTCGGCAGGGGGCGCCGGATTCGGGGCCTGGCTTCCGGATTCGGCGGCCCCAAGACATGGGGCAGAGCCCGACATGGTGGGGCACACTGCGCGGTGATGACGGCAGCGACATCGGCAGGTGCCAGAGCCAACGACGTTGGTCAAATGCGGCCTCGGCGTGCGGTGGTGTGACGCGAGCTGTAGAGTCGGGTCCGGCTCTGCGTGGCCCGGTCGGAGGGGGTGGCGGCCGACGCAGCTGTGCGGCTGCTACGCGTAGCCGGCGCGTCAACGCCCCTCTTGTGGGGCTTCCGTGGGGCGCCGGGACAACGGCGATGGCGGTGAAGGCTAGCACGAGTCCGGCTTCGCGACCCGACGAGTGTGCTAGAGGGTTCTTGGGCGAAAGCCTTGGCGACGGCGACACCGTTGGGCGCCGCTTCCCTGTTGGGGGCGTCATATTTCCCCACTATCATGTCTTCCAAGGGTGAAAACTCACTCCACTTTGGACGTGCGACGGTGACGCCATTGGCGCTACTCCTTCCCCGCGCGTCGCGGATGGATTATTGTCGCGGTTTCGATGCGGGGCGATGGTTTGCGTTTGGAAGTCGGAGCTGCTCTTCGGTGTTTGAGCTTGACAACGATGACCGGTGGCGGCCATTAGCTTCAGACCCGTCGGGGGGTGACTAGTGGGTGGCTTGCCATGGGAAGTCGGAGCAACGATGACTCATGGCAGTGTGTCGTGTTTGTGCTCAGCTGCGCCGCATGGGGTGGTTAGCCCTTCGGGTGCCTTTCTGACATCTCGTCCGGCTAACCTTCTTGTACATAATATTCTTTCGGCTTAATTAAGCGGCAGAGATCCTGCCTTTTGTTTCAAAAAAAAAATGCATTTCGTCAAACTCTTTTTTACTGCACAATGTTTCCTGCGAATAAGATGATGAAACCTTTTTTTAACTCCACAAAACTTCTTGCCAATGAAGCGGTGAAACCTTTTTTTTAGTCCATAACATTCCTGCAAATAAGACAGGTTCATTCAGGGCAGCAGCAACCATTTGTTCTATCTACAAATTCATGCATCAGCAATTTGTTTACAAGTGCATTTGCTATATCTATAAATTGGAGGCTAACGACCTAATAATGGACTATTCTAGGAACTTCGGTACTAGGGCTAAAATGATAAGCTCGCCACAGACGAATAGAAAGAAGACTCATCATTAGCTGTATCAATCATCTGAATCTAACGGCAGCGTGCTCAAAATAATCTCTCCTTGCATCTGCATCCGATCAGAAAAATGGTAACATAAAGTAAGTATCCTAGCATTGTATATCATGTAACCCAGAAGTCCTAGCTTGTAAAAATCTCTGAATATGTTTTACCATGTTTCATAGTTAAAGAAGGATCTTCTTTCTCTGTATAACCAACTATCTTTGCAGGATTACCTACAGCCATACTTTGAAACAAAAGGAAAACAACAATGTAAAAATCAATGATTAAGTTGAGGTACATAACATAATATATAAGGTGAAAGACCACTTGGTCATAGCAAAATTGATGACCAAATGGTTAACAAATTAATTATTCCACTAACACTAACAAATGCATATTAATGTAATCATAGGCTGTAGGAAGGTGACCTTGGCTACTGGTTCAACTTGCTCTGTAAGTTTCACTGGACACTTATTAAAAGTACAGATCTCCATTTTAACACCACTACACCATTACACAAAAGACTTTGGATGGACTGTCTTATATAGATTCTTTACTGATAGCCAGCAAAGTCAGGTCCGAATTTACTGGAGGTAGCAGATCAATCAATAGGACATTGAAGTGCTGAAGGATCAAATGCTTATATTTTTAGATAGAGATTGAATCCCAGAAAATCCAGGAAAATCGCATATCATATATTCCCTCTGTCCCAGATTATAGGTCACTTGGCTTTCTATGTGCATAGCTTTTGGTGTACACCTAGATATACACTATGTCTAAATACATAGTAAAAAACTATGTATCTAGCCACGGCCTATAATTTGAAATGGAGGGAGTAGTTAGCAAGACCAGACCTAGGGCCTTTAGACACATGACGTAGGTGTCATACTGCTGCCAGGCTATTTGTTGGCAATGTAGTACAATCAAGTTTCCAAAAAAATTTCTTTTTTTAACCCTGCAAGTTGCATAGTTAATTTTGGACATTGCATAAAGCGAGCATAGGTGCAGCCTCTAGCAGCTCAATCATTTTTTTTAAAAGAAAACGCTCAATCAGTCAATATATGAATAACATGCGCTGGACACTGGACAGTACCATTTTAATCATTTTCTTCTTAATGTTTGCTTTCTTTACAAGGACTATCCACACTGCAGGAACATTAGAACATCCAAGTTCAGATTTGTTCCTTAAAGTTTTCACCTGCGGTGTTATTACGTAAGATTGTAATACAATAGTCTAGTTTCTAACCTGTGGGAAGGTACATCCTTTAAAACAAGGGAGCCAGCAGCAATCATGGCACCTTCGCCTACATTGATATTGCCAAGGATATTAGCACCAGCTCCAATAAGAGCTCCCTGACTGATCTTGGGGTGCCTGTCTCCATGTTCCTTGCCTGTACCTCCAAGTGTAACACCCTGTACCAAAGGTCAGACTCATAAGATGGTGAACTTTCGTTCTTTTTACGACTTTCCCTAAGAAAGCATTGGAATCTTAATAGAGTTAGCTATGAAAAAAAAGGAAGCTGAGCTAGCTCAGTTGGTCAAGGGTGTGCATGTATACCCAGACGATCCAGGTTCAAGTCCTCGTCCAAGTGAATTTGGGTGCCTATTTTCTTAAAATGAAATGCCACCTAGTTCCTCCTAGGTTGGTCTAGTTTTCTTAACTATGAAAAAAGGAACCAGCATGAAGCGAGGACTAAGTTCATTTAAGATTTACGAAAAAAACTTAAGGGAAAATAGTAATGCGATACTGCAAAGCAAGCATACATATGCCCCTAATGCCCTAATGTTTCCCCACCTTTTCCCCATTTTACTTGTATATGCACAAATCAAAAGGTTTCTCATGCCTCTAGAATCTAGACAAAAATGAAAAATCTTCTGAACTTAATTGAATGGGTCGCAATTACACACACAAAAAAAAATTTATTGAATAAATACAAATGTGTGCATAGAAATCATTTAAGGAACAAACATAATCCAACAAGTCTACTTAATTTGGCATATTACAGTCTGAAGTTTATCTAGTTCGTATATTATATCATCATAGAATAATACTGTATAGGCTTGCCAAGTTTGCCTATTCACACATGGCTGTCAAAATAGTTATGGAAGGAAGATCCGTAGTTTCAGTTGATGAAAACCTGGACATTTTGCCTGCTGCCTGCTTTAGTTCTATAACTGAGCTGTTAAGAATGCAACTTGCTATATTGAAAGGAACAACGGATGAATGGAGGATAACCAAACAATTTTAATTGTTTACACATGATTTTGCCTGGGACTAAAGGCTTCATGGTTTAACCTACCTGTTTTTTAATTGTTTGAAGCAAATTTGATGCTATTGGGCCAACAGTTGGACGGTTCTAGAGTCTCACCGATCTGATGCGGATCACCGACTTACAGGGGGCCTTGAACGTCAGCACCAGCTTCCGAGCTGGCCCGATGCTGGGGACTGCTCGGCCGAGCATCAACACCCCTCGGCTAGTCAGCGGACGGCACTGCCGAGAAGTACACCGCCCGGTCTTGCCCACGAATCTTCAAGAGCACGAATGACTATGCTGCAACAAAAAAAAGGAATCAAACGCGGGATTCATACGCGGGATGTGACCTCTCCTTGCTGGGCTACTGATGAGACTGCCTCTTTGGATCCTGGCACCACGAGACTGCTTCACCTAGTGCCAGACTCGGGGACTAAGTGTGTACACTTCACTTAGCGGTGAATGTACTGATCGTCTGGTCTGGATATTTTTCTTTGACCCTGCTACAAGATTCCTTCATCATCTTCCAGCAGGCTCGGGGACTACATTGTGTACAATGCACCTTGCGGTGCATGTACTGCTTTTTTCCAAGGTGTTTCGACTTCGTCAATTCTGCCATGTGATGCCTCTGCTCTGCCCTGATGACCACGTCGCCAGAGCCATTGCAATAGGCACTTAAGTGTGTACACTTCATCGGCTGAGACTTCAAATTTTTTTTACTTGAGCTCCTTACATCCTGCCGGCAAACCTTGAAGCTTCAAGTGAGCCCGAGCTCGGCTCCTAGATTGAAACACTTGGACATTCGTTTCTACAGCTTGGACGCCATTTTCAACAGCTCCAATGGCGTATTCAACAGCTCGGACTCCTGTTTCAACAGCTCAGCTACCAGTCAATCTGGACGGACGCCTGTTTTTGACGACCGACGTCTAGCTGGACTGTCGGACAAGCTCAAGACGGCGTTGCTCGGCGGATACAAGCGCTCGAGGACTAGTTGTGGGGGTATAATCCCCGATACCCACAGGGCTTCACATGGGCCGAGCCGCTAGGGGAGGCCCAGCCCATGAGACCACACAGGGGCCGCGCCGCCAGTCGAGGACCAGCGTGCAAGACGACGCTGCGTGAAGTACGGCGTAAATCAGCGTGCCTCGCAAGACTGCGTGAAGATCCTCGGAGATCTAGGAAATCCGCTCAGATATGCTAGATTACCGTGATATCTGTAACTTCCTATCTTGTAAACCGATCATGATAGAAACAACCGATCTGTAACCCTACTCCTGGGCTATATAAGGCGGGTAGGGACCCCATATTTTCATCTGATCATACGCAATACAACCCACAAAGACATAGGACGTAGGGTATTACGTCAAGCCGACGGCCCGGACCTGTCTAATCGTTGTCTCTTACGTTCTGTGTCACCATCCGATTCCCTCACGCGCACCTCCACCGATTCATCTACTACCGTGGACATACCCCTCGGTAGACTGCTGACCAGATTTCGTCGACAGTCTTTTGTGCCCAAAGCCATCGAATTCTTAGAGCACAGCCAAGCAGTTCTAAATTATGGATGCCCAACCCGCCATATTCGATTGGCCGCTGTATTTTCTCCCAAGCTACCAAACAGTGGCCCCCATTTGCCTGCTCTTGTCCCTTCCAAAGGAACCCTCTTCTTTTTTTATTAATAGCCTTAAAAAACCACTTTGGCGTATCCATATGTAACACGTCTGATGACAGGTCCCCAACACGGGATTAATGGGCCGAGCATGGCCCCAAGGGGAGGGCGCGCGCGCCCATGGGACGGCGGCGGCGCCTCCACACCTCCCTTCTCCGGAAGGAATTAGAAGAATAAAATAGAAATAGAAAGTAAATTAGGAGAGAAGAGTTTAGTTTGTTTAGGAAAGGAGAATCCAATCTATAAGGATATCTTCTGTAGTTGCTTGGAGCACAAGTCCTGTAGGCACTATAAATATAGGGAGGATGTTATCAATCTAATCAAGCAAGAATATAGCAATTGCTCCTTCCTCTACCCCTCTCCTCTCTCTCTACGCCGCCAACCCTAGCCGCAGCCCCCCTCCTCCATAGCCACCACCCCCTCCTCCCAAGTGACGTATTACACCATAGCTGTCAAGAGGTAAATTGGGGCAGCAGTCAGGACCACGCACACCATTACCAGCCGCCTAGCTCTGTTCATTAAAGATGCCTTCCATCCTGGGAGGTAGTCAGCCACTTTATCTAGTAAAGGCAACATTACCTCCTTGGTTGGCTTGCCAATTGTGAGTGGGAGCCCAAATACAGGGAAAATCCTTGACGGAGCAAGAGAGGAAGTTAACTACTGTGTTTTTATGGGGCTTCACCAAATCTTGAGAGCATCACGTTGTATTATGGGGGTTTGGCAGGGGCTAAGGGCGTTGCTTATCTAGCTGCCTTGTCTCGTGAGGGGACTAAAGACGTTTTTCTCCTGGTCGTGGTAGTGTTTTGTGGTGTATCATGAGCGATCTAGTTGTTTGGGAGTGGTGGGGTGTGTTTTGTAAGGGTTTCTCTACCCAGTTTTTCCTTAATATAATGATACGCAGCTGTCCTACGTGTCCGAGAAAAAAAAAATCAAATTTGCTAAGGTGATAGCTACCATAACAACACCATCAATTCTATGTCTACATATGCACTACTTTTGTGAATAAGTATGAGCCGATGCTCAAGATAGATATCAAACACTGAGTCGATGGGATAGAAGTATGTAACCTACAACAAATTTTTGCAGCACGCCAGCTTGACTTACATATAAAGAACAACCAATGGTTAAATGCACATGCTTCATAAAATAACAACCACTTTATCTTCCATTCTTCATAAGAATACAAGAAAGTAATAACAACCAAAAAGGGTCTTGGAAAGCGCTAAGGACCATACTTCAACAAACCACTCAGCATTTAATATGGACTTCAAGAATGAAACAATCTCTCAAACAAGAAAGGAACATGCCAAATTGTGTAATAAAAATCATACTGCAAAAATTGTGCTTTTCTTTATCTTTATGGAAAAAAGAGGGTTGTTTATGCATTCACCTGCATTAATGAAACCCAATTTCCAACTACAGCAGTTTCACCAATGACTAGGCCCGTTCCATGATCCAACAATATTCCCTCGCCAATTTTGGCAGCTGCATGTTAAATAAAAAAAACTGAAGACCTAAAAAAATAATGTATCAAAGCATACAACCTAAAAATAAATAAATAACCAAGCATTTGAATTTCACAGCTGAAAACTTAGAAGGTGTAAGCACCTATTGTAGAGTTGTGCTACTTATTTTCTAGCCTGAAGAACAAACCAACAAAGCACTTGCAGGATGGCAATAGATATAGCTACATAAGCATTAAGTACAGAACTTCTATGATGACCCGGAACTTTATTAAGATCAAACAGCACAGACCAACTGATAAAATTAAAATAGTAATAAAGTGACTACTAAGTAGATTGATCTATCAAGGCCCACTGTGTATTAACACCTTATTTACTTCCTAGTGATTTTCTAGTGTTCTGAGTTGCATGTATAAATTTGATATTATTATATTACAGACATTTAGTCTTCTAAATTCATAGATGAAATACCTGGATGTATATCCACAGCAAAGACCTGCGAGCAACAATGATAGCAAATGTTACTCAAAGAGGAAAGCCATATGGCTACAATAGAAATCTATCTGCTGATTAAGAAATCATGCTTCACCTCACTAATACGGCTTTGCAGTGCCAATGCCAAAACTTTACGTCCCTGGTTCCATAATACATTAGCTATCCTGTATGATTGCAACGATTGGTAACCCTGAAAACAGCGTACAAGCAGCATGACAAGACACTAGACATCAGGGTCATAAATGTTTGTAAGAATTAGATGATAAACCAATGTCAGAAACATGTAACAAGGTACAGAAGGGTGCCAGAGGCAATTCAACCCTATCCTACACAGCAAAATGAGCAACCAAATTCTCCCTACTCAGACAGCATCCTGGAATGGATATCATAAATACGCACCTTTAGGTATAACAGTGCCCAACTATATTGGGAACAAGCTGGATCTCTATCTTTGAAGACCTGAATTAGCAACGCAGTTCCCATAGTTATCAATTCATTAACAGGATGGTGTAGAAGAATTAATACGTAAACATAAAACAAAATGAGCTAGCAGAATAATAGTGACTCACCTGAGCATCAAGGCGAATGGAACGGCATATATCTTTGTCATTCAGAACGACATCGTTAAAAATATCGATTAGCTGAGTAGCAAGCAATGTTGGATCTTCAAGCCTGTTTGCAAGGACGAAGCTCAACGCTCGCTCCAGACAGTCATGAGACAACACACTGGCATACAAGAAGCTACTCAAAATAGGTTCCTTTTCTGCCTGTGGAAAATGAGCATCGTACTGTCGGCCATCAGGTAACCAATATAACAGTAAAATCATGACAAACACAACCATGCATAAAGAGGTGAGAGCCTAACGTTAGAATAGTATAAGAGTGAAAAAAACATCAACATGGTTTTTTTTATTCCACTTTTTACAGGATTTGTTATTTCAGTTATTACGTAGACATAAAGCTCTTCTGTAGACTGTAGTTATGCTTAATGTTAGTTGCATTGAACTGGATTTTGTTACTGCTTTTTAAGCTTAACCGGGCAATACTTAGCTTCCCTACATAATAAATGCAAGAGATATGCATCTTCACATGAATTTTTGTTAGAAACATATCACAACGTGTCGGGTATCAATATTAGGGATACCCAAAGCAAGGAAGTTAGTGCCCACGCTGACTTCCCCGGATGGCTCGAGACGTATTAAAAGGTCTCGCCTGACCCCTTGGGTGCGGGCTCCGTCTCGCCTGACCCCAAGGACGCGGTTTCCGACTCGTCCGGCCGCGGGCTCCGTCTCGCCCGACCCCTTGGGTGCGGGCTCCGTCTCGTCCGACCCGAAGGACGCAATTTCCGTCTCGCCCGACCTCATGCTCCGTCTCGCCCAACCTCATGCTCCCTCTCACCCGACCCCTTGGGTGCGGGCTCCGTTTCGCCCGACCCCAAGGACGCGGTTTCTGTATCTCCCGACCTCAAGGCCAAGGGCTCCCTCTCACCCGACCCCTTGGGTGCGGGCTCCGTCTCGCCCGACCCCAAGGACGCGGTTTCCGTCTCGCCCGACCTCGGGCTCCGTCTCGCCCGGCCTCAAGGACGCGGGCTCCGTCTCGTCCAACCCCTTGGGTGCGGGCTCCGTCTCGCCCGACCTCGAGGACTCGGGTTCCATCTTGTCCGGCGGGGACCCATACCGCCGCCAACCACTCCAGATCCAAGCGTATGGGCCTAGGTCAAAACTCTGACGCCAGGGAAGAGGCTAGCACGCCTCGATGTAACCCGTGGCCGTGACGGGCCATACCAGGGGATTCACATCAAGAACAGTGTAGGACGTGCCGGTGCTGTTCTGCATAATCCTCGTACGGGCGCTGACAGACGCGTCAGTTCACCACGACGTCCGCCAGGACGGAGTGGAACGCCATGACCGGCAGATGACGCCGCGCATGGCGCCAGTGACGAACAGGGCCGCAACATGGAGCCGTCCTTGTTGACATCTACAGGATCAGCAGGACACGCGTGAAGGAGAAAAAGGAACCGGCAACCCTGGAAGCCTTCCTCTCTCTCGTTCTTCTACTTTTCCTCCACTGTAACCCACGCTTTCCCTTCGTCTATAAAAGGGGAAGCAAGGCGCCTCATGGAGGGGGGCGAAAAAACACGAAGTCGGAACACAAGAGAACGACACGAGCACACGGCTGAGCGGCAAGCGAGCTCTCAGCACCCGTTCACTCCTTCCACCAGAGACTTGGGATCCTCTCCCTCTCTCGCCAGTTTGTAACCCCTACTGCAAACCAAGTATCGGTAACACGAGCAGCAGCGAACTGGACGTAGGGACGTTCCGTCCGAACCAGTATAAACCCTTGTGTCCTCCGAGCACACCATTCGGGCCAGACGCATAAATACAAATTTACTCGTCGGTGGTCCGAAAACACCGACACAGCGTCATCAAAATTGAGTTGCCAGCAACATTTCCTTTTTATCAAGGGTTGCCTGCGCAACATATAAAGTTATAAACACAATGGCATGGGGACATATATAGTTAGAAAATAATTCACATAGTTTGAAATCGAATCCACTTTTGGCCTTTTGATTTCCTTGGCTAAGCTGAAACTGTAACTATTACAAACTCGCAAAAAAAATCAGAACTGCCAATAGTTTTAAAGGCAGTTCCTTTTGTCACATCAACTAAGCTTAGCCAATAAATTATCGTGGCCAATCCACTCTACCGTTGAAGTAAAGAAGGAAAAAAGATGTGGACTTGCGCACTCTGCGCAAAAGGAGATAACGGCTCCATTAAATCCAAGAACTAAAAAAGCCGGTTACAGAGAAAATCAAATAGTTCAAGTTCTGCGGGGGAGTACTAGCGTGTTGCCACCAGAAACTAAAATATAGTCAAACGGATTCTTAAATAAGATGCCCAAAACCAAAAGCCATGAAAGCTGATAGCAATCCAACGCCAACCAAACAAACGTAGCTTTAATTCGTCATCTGCGTGGCACAAACAAAAGCGCAAGCTGCGATCCATTCCAACCAATCGAGGTCCGGAAGCATACTCACCTCAGACTTGGCCTCCGCCTTGACGGCCACCCATATGGGGTCCTCGGGGGAGTCGACGATGCCGCGCGCCGCCGCCACGGTGCTCCCCCGCGAGCTCCCCATCACGTAGATGGGGAAGATGGCCTCGGACCGGCCCCGCCAGTCCCCGGCGCACGAGCCGCACCCGGCGCCGGCGCCGGTGCCCAGCGCGGCCTTCACCCTCGCCTTCACCGCCGCGTCGCCCTCCACCTTCTCGAGCACCAGGCACCCACAGGACGTCATGGAGGGTCCAGCAGCGATGCCCGGAGCCTCCCTGATCCTAGGGTTTCGTTCGCCCCTGCGGCGGCCCGACGCGGCGAGCCGAGCGCGTGCGCTTGCGGTCAGGCTGCCCAGGCAGGCGGGGGGCGGGCGAGCAGGTGCGGAGGGGCGCAAAGCGGCAAAGGCGCACACAGGGGAGTAGAGTAGAAAAAAGAGCGGTTGGGAGCAAAACCGAATCGCCGAGTCGCCAAGACGACCACTGACGGCGGGGAGACGCCGTACGGGGATGCGTGCTCGGGGAGGGCGGTGACGGTGAGAGGGTTTTGGCGGCTTGCGTTTTTTGCTGTCTGGTGACAGCTTTTCGCGGGGATTTTGCGGCGGTCGGTGGGGACCAGGCCGGGCGGCGGCGGGGGGCGTGCGGCGTGAATGGACTGCAACGGCAGCCACGGCTTTGCCCTCTGCTGCGCCTTTCGGCCGGGCCCCGGGCACGGACGGTGGCGCGGCGTCCGCGAGTCGGTGGACGGGGCACGGGGCGTGTTGGGTGTGGTGCGCGGAAACGTTGCGCGCTCGTGGCCCGTGGACGTGGATGCTGCCATGAGCTGGAACGCGCGCGCCGCGCTGGGCCTGGGCTGCGTGTTTCGTGCCGTCTGGGGATGGTGGGGAATTCTGAGCAGGAAAGGAAATTCCGTGGTGGAAGTAGAGCGATCCGCAAAGGTCTATTATAGGTGGGTTTCTTTTAATCACTAATTCTGTGGTGGAAGTCGAGCGATCCACAGAGGTTTATTATAGACAGGTTTTTTTTAACCACTTTCCACACTTCCACTTAGCGTTCTTTTTTCTTTTCCAGAGGCAAGATCAGCACTCACAAACTTACGCAGCAGCCCACAACCTTGGGTGCTTCCCGGTGACGTCTAGCCACCTAGGAGCAAAACTCCACGAGTAGCACAAACGTAAATAACTGAATTTATTGGCTTTTCTCAAGTGTTCAATGTGTTTGATAGCTCACACAAAGACTCTCAAGCTCTCTAATGCCACTAAGGCTTCTCACAAAGCAAGGTGAACTTCCCCAACTTAGGATCATTTCAGTTCTCTAGTCACTTTCACCCACAAAGAGAGGTTTGGGAGTAGTCAAGGACTTTTGGTCGTGGTGTATGAATGGGGAGCAACAACACCAGCCAAAGGAGGAGAGGGAGAGGTACTTATGTAGCCCACTCACAAACTAGCCGTTAGGGCCTGGACGGTTTTGCTACGTACAGGGACCAAGACAAAAGCGCTTTCTCTCTAACTCATTCACTCTTTGTCTCTCGGTCTCAACTTCCTCACATAGGTTAACTTGAGCACTTTCACTTATCTTAAACTCAGTGATGCATCCCTCTTAATTATTGAGTAGAGACTCAAGAATTAAGGATAGCAACCTTTAAGCTATCACTTGAGCCTCCTTCTCAAACCTTTGCTCGCCACATTGATCATGCATACTCGAGGTTCTTCCGCCCTGTTCGCTTGGTTTATAAGCCGTACTTTTTCAGCCAATGAACAGTATTTTTCTCTCACAACAAATCAGCCAACGGTACTTTCAGCCATGACTTATCAGCCAAGCGAACAGGGCATTCATCACTTCACACTCTGAGCATGTCAACCTTGAGCATGTGACTTGAACCAGTTCAACCATGGCTCAAGGCTTGGCATGGTCCGGCATGATAGGCGGGTTGTGCCTGGGACGCTACTATGGCACGGCGTGCCAGTGCGGCCCTGCCCGATACTTTGTTGAGTGCTGACTCCCCAAACCCTACCTTCCGGCCACATCACCATGTCCTCCCGGTGCCCGCCTCGTCGCGATTCGTCTCCCTCGGCCAAATCCCGTGTCGCCTCTCCCATGCCCCTCCTCCCTCGATGCATGCAGCCTACATTGGGGCATTCCATCTCGCTCAGTTCCTCTTCTTAGCAACGGTGGCCTCCTCTCCAATTTGCACAAGGGTGGCGCGACAGTTTCTCCGATTCGCACAGCAGCAGGAGCAGTGCACGGCCATGGCGGCGGGGCGCAACAGGCTTGGGCGGCCTCGGGCATGGGGGGTTCGCCGTGCCGACGGGCAGCCCGACATGGCCCGAGCCTTACAGGGCCGTGCCTACGATGCAGCCCGTGGTCGGGTACAACATGGCCAGATGAGTCAGCTGTGCCGTGTGCCTTGGCCAGGTCCTTTGCCGTGCCCAGCCATACGACCCATTTGGCCATCTATCTCTTATTATCAAAGCAGGGAGCTTTAGCTGCCGTTCAGGCTATCCATGTCACCAGAATTACTTCTATCGTTGGATTCGTAGATCAAAGGTCCTGGTTGCTCCCGCCGCCTTCTACAGCACCCGCCTTGCGATATCTGCTCCCACCGCGTCCGCTGCCTCTCGAAGCCTCCCCTCGTCTCGACAGAACAAACAAACCGAACCCCGTCTCCCTTCGCCTCTCCGCCACGCTCGCTGCTCCCCACGCGCGACGCGCCTCAGCCGACGATGCGGGACGACCTCGTCGGTACCCGGCCCTCCCAGCGCCGTCGGCCTCCCTCCTCCTCCTCCTCCACCGCCACCACCCCCACGTCGCTTCCTCGTCGCGACGCAACCCAGCGGGTCGCACAGCCTAGGGTTTCGCCCCTCCGTCGCCGGTCGTCCCCACGGCCGCCTCGCCAGCCAGCGGAGGCCCTGACGCGCCGGAGGGCTCTGGCGGCAGAGGGACCGCCGTGCTGGCCGTCCATGACGACGGGGAGGTCGCGTCAGCGAACTCGCCGGTGGATCTGGAGCGGCCGCCCGCGGGGCCCATCCCGGCGGCGGATCTGAAGCTGGAGCACGACGTGCAGCTTGTGCACGCAACGGAGGCGGTGGATCTGCGGCCAGCAGGCGGGTCTCCACTACGACCGGCTATATGGCCTCCACCGATGCCCGCCGAGGTAGGAAAGGAGATGAAGGTGATTTTTTTCTCAGCCCTCTTCCCGCGCTGCCTGAATTTGCTCAGCCCTAAAATAGAATCTTGTCCTATTTACATGGATAATGATCTCTGTTACTTTCACATGTCTAAATGCAATCCTAGACTCATCCTATTGTGTGCCTTTAGTTATATGCCGCCACCAGTAGGAGGTGTTTCCAAAGCCTGTGCTTTTAGCGCTAGCTTCTCATATAAGAGCTGGTGCCGGCATAGGTGAGTTCTAGCTTTCATAGGTGTGTTCATATGTGGATCATGTGATTTTATTGAAAGATAGGTGGTACATCAACTCGCCAGATAACATTGTAGCGCCATCAAGAATTTCCTCTATATATTTTTTGAGTACCACTAAGCTAATATTAGTTGCTATGTTGTTTGTATGTATATAGGTTGCGGCAGCAATGTAGTGCCTCATGGTTTGCTTTGCTTTCTAATGATAGCTTCTAAAAAGCGATCAACTTAGCGATATAGGCTTATGTCTTGCTGCCTATGGTGCCTTTTAGCGAAGTGATCACCTTATCAATTTAGCCCTGCATCTTACTGCCTATATTTTACAGGAAATAACTGCTTCTTTGTGCGCCTAATCTGGCTGGCCAGCATTAGATGCAACAAAAAAGAGATGTTTGACTCAATATAGATCCATGATGAGAGTCCTTCCTATAGACTCATGTCATTTGCGGTGATTGTGTGTTGACGCTGGTTGAGTCATTATCAAGATACACTTTGTCAAGTTATATTCTTTCCTGTTTTGTAGTGCACTGGCATTTATATTGGCTTCTGTTGTTCAAAATGTAAACTTTCGTTTTCGCTTTACGATAATTCTATTCGTAAGATCGGTATGTGATGCCTCTGTTTGCCTCATGCAGTTAATTGCCTTAGGTAAACTCACAGAATTTAGGAGAGGAGTTCTCTAGCTTTCAGAAAATCTGCCAGCTGATGTTGATGCTCAGATTAATCTTTTGGAGGTAATGCTATATCATTCTTTACAGTAGTACACACAAGATTTCGAGAGTCGGATCACCTCTGCTTTTTTCCATTGTTTTTTGGATATTTAGTGTAACATAGAATTGTCCTTTCCCGTGAGCATTTTTTCTCTGTGTGTAACTTGCAGAGAGTGAAGCTTATTGGTCATGGGACTCTATTTGAATCAATCATCTGTTGTATAAACATTCAGACCCTGTGTTGACATCTCTCTGTAACTTAATACAGTGTATTGGGATGCTAGTGGGTACCCGATGGTGCTAGGTCTATTTTTGGTTCATTCCTATACCACCGTTTTTTTATCTGGATTGATTTGATTAATGAGTTTTGAGATAAGCCACTAACATAGATAAAACTGTTGCGTTCCTAATCAACAGGCTAAATCAGGTATTTATCACTTTCATCGAATCCCCCTATTGTACATTTATAAGATTATTTTGTGTCTATCGTAAGAAGCTCAAACACTTTGCTAACTTGGAAATGCACAGACCTTGTGCTCTTATGTATTCTGAGTGTGTAGGAACCCATTATTAACATATCAAACTTTTGCCAGGCTACAAAAGGTGCCGGAGTGCCTGTTATCGTGGACGCTGGTGGAATGGATGCCCCTGTGCCTGAAGAACTACTCAATCTAGTGGATATTTTCAGTCCAAATGAAACAGACCTAGCGCGTTTGACTGGGATGCCTACTGAGACGTTTGAACAGATCAACCAGCCTGCAGGAGAATGCCATAAAATGGTGAGATATCTAAATTGGATTGCTTTTATAACGTTCACAATATTTCCTCCTTGTTCTGCTTTACCTTATAGTTTAACTGACTTCTGCATTGCTTTGGGTTAACCATGATTGTGTGTTTGGATTTAATTGTTTGAAGCAGTTCCATCAATGATATTGCATAGTGATGTTATCTGCTAATAAATCTATAAGGAACATGGTCCTCCTTTTGTTAACCTTATATGCATATTTTGATGTACATGCAGTTAGACTGGTACTCTATCTCCTTTCTTTTTTAGTTCTTGTTGTATGCATGTTTGCAAGGGTGTCAATTGTAATCTGGATGAATAGAATTGCAAGGTTAGG